TTATATCCTGTTACCTAAAGCTCCTGTTACCTAAAGCTGTTGTAAGTGAACAGTGATCAGTTCCAGAACTATATGATAGTCCCGACTAACAAAGAACATGCCTTTATTTAACTTTGCTGTTATTAAACCCTGTGAACAGTAATTAATTTTCCTTGCTTGCGGTATAATATTCATAATAAAACGGAATAAATTATTTTAAATTATGTGACAACTGCGAACATCATGATTCTAATTGTATGTTTACACTTACAATTATCAAAACATTTAAGAGCACATTTTTATACAGATTTTATGTGTTTGATATCACTTGCTACACATTTGTTGAGTTGATTGTTTAAGGAGAAGCGTATTGTAATGAAATATATATTCACAGATAAATTTTATTTAACCTGGTACCGTATATGCCATATTACAGATTTACCTCATTATATATATGCATATGTACATTCAAATTGAGAAAATACGGTAACCCTGTGCAGAAAAAATCGATGAACTTGTAAACAAATTTATATAAATACATTTATAAATTATTATATCTTACCACAAATAACAATTTGTGTACATTTCTTTTAAAGAAAAACAAAAATAATAATCCAAATGTAATGGAGAATACAACTAATAGCGTTACTGATGCAGATAGTACAGAAACGAATTTTCCATTGACAAATGATTCTTTAAATCCCAACGGTAAGTTAAGTGAATTACATTAAATTAGTACCTGACTTAAAAATTATTTTTAACAAATACTACAGATATTGATGTGAGTTTGTATAGTACTGGGCAGTGTTCAACTGCCTACTCTTCTGAATTAAAGAACAAAACTGATGGAGTTTCAAAGCTGGAAGATGCCGATATAAAAGCGGAAAATGAGGGGTACAAACATATGCCAGTTCATATTAAGGAGGAGTATTGTGAGTTCATTGCATTGAATGCGGAATCAAACAGCGATCTGCCGGATCCCTTATTTACCAGTAACGCAACAGATAAACAAAAATCAACAGATCAAACTGAATTAAACAAAAGAACTCGTAAACGTGGTTATAACCGAAAGGCTAAGACATGTAAACTGGATAAAGATAGCACAACTTCGGAAGATTTGGAAACAACAGATTTAAATTTAGATAATAGACGTAGTTTAGTAGCGAAGCAAACGCGTGATCGCCGCGCCCGTGAAACACCAGAACAAACCGAATCCCGACTACTTAGACAACGGGTCGCAACAATGAAGAAGCGTTTATTGCAGCAATTAAAGCTAACGGAAGATGAGTGGAATGTTGAAAAACAACGTAAAACAGTTGAAAGGCGGTTATCACGCCAAAAGCAAAGAGAAAATGAGACTCCTGAACAAACTGCTGAACGCAAGCGTCGTCAGGCGCAGCAAAAAATTTTATCTAGACACCGTTTAGAAGCTTCAGAAACGCCAGAAGAAACAGCTGCGCGCTTAGCACTGCAACGGGAATATCAAAATAAACGAAGCCAAATAAGAAAATCAAAAGAGACACCAGAACAACGTGCAAAACGGAAAGCAAAGGAGCAGTACTACAGAGATTTAACGAAGCAGCGTAAACTAGCCGATCCTTCAAAACAAAACATGGATGATGAGTTGAAAAAGTTACTTAAATAAATTATGTATAATAAATTATATTTAAATTAAGAAAAAATTTAGAAGTGTCTAATGCACTTTATAAAATATTTTATTATAAGATTTTAACATTTCTTACTGCTATTTAGCAATGTCGATTGTGATAAGACTACCCTGATTGGCACAATACCAACAAACAATTCCATATGCTATCGAAGATTAAATGCTGCTAATAACTTCTGTCACAAGAAAGGTAAACGATATCGGTTTCCCAGAAATTGGTAATGTACATGATTTAAGTAGAATCCGATATTGTCAGCAACCATCAAGTGCCGCTCATAGCCTTCGTTATTGTTTTTACGAAAGCAGCCTTCCAAAGAAACGGGGAATAACCCAAGCTGTAACAGTTTGCATTCCTCTACAGTGACTGAAGTTAAATAATTTATTTCTATTAACTTAATTTTAATAATTATTGTTCCAACTCAAGCAGAGAATGCATTGAACTTTATTGATATTTACTTTATTCATGAGACTTTATTTTAACATTATGGACTATTCATAACATGACAATTAAAGTTTTGTTGAAAGCAACTTGCAAGCTAAAATTTTAAAGCTAAAATTAAAAATTTCAATAGAAAATTTTGTTTTCAGAGAAATTAATTGAAGTTACTATATTAAACCTATAAAAGATTTACAATTTCCTTATTTTAATTCATACTAATGTAAATAGAAAATGTAAGGTAATGCAACATTTGCAAGTAATATTTGCATTCGTCCCTTCAATGGTATGTGTTTAACTGTTTAATTAAATTCTAAGCATCAATGGGTATATCATCATGGGTGTCATCATTAACTGCTTCTTCTAGCTGATCAATTTCTTCCTCGTTTTGCAACGAATTTTGTGAGTTTGATTCGTGTTCTTCACGAGTTACGTTTTCTCGCTTAGCTAATAATTTTTGATAAACATTTTCCGTCAAAAATACACGATGCTGTTCACCTAAGTTCCGTGTTACCTCTTTAAATTCTTTTGCATGCTCAGTAAATTCGTCCCAAAACTGTTTTTCGCCATTGTAATTAAATAATCTCTTAAAATTATTGTATATAGTTATGGCATCCTGACGTATTATTTCAGCGTTTGTCTTAAATCGTGCCTCCTCGTCGCTACTTAAATTCCACTGCTTCAAATTTCCTACATAGCGACGCAAGCGGCGTATAATATCCACACAGTCCGGATTACGCAATAACATCAATTGGTTTAATTGAAACTTCTTAAAATTGTCCAATAACTCCAGACACTTATCAACGTATGCACGTTTCAACCCCAAGCATTCACGTAATTTCTGACATTGGGTAAGAAAATCGCGTTCAGCAAAAAGTGCACTTTCTCGTTCTACCATTTGTGAAGTAAAATCTGCAGAAATTTCAGCATTGAGTTTTCCAATTGGGACATCTAAGATAACTTTATCTTTTACTGATTCTAGTTTGATTTCTCCGATCTCCAGTTTCTCTTTTAATTCTTTTGCTTCCTTGAGGGCTTCGGCTTCCCATTCGAGACGATCGCTTACAGATGGAAAAGATTCGGGCTTATTATAATCAAGTTTAATCCCAATGCATTTTGTGGGTAGAATGAGAGCCAATAGAACATTATCGTAGTTTTGTGACTTTACATTTGGCGCGATTGTTGCCGTTGGCTTACTAGCATTAACCTTCTTGGATGATTTTACTTTGGCATCAGCTGCACCAATACCTGAAATAAAAATATATATTACTTTAAATTATAAAATATAATAATTAAGCAGAAGATGAAATAATGTGTTAATTCAGCTAGCAGTTGGTAAACCAATTTATTCATTATAATTTGATAAATATTTTGAAGTAAGTAAAAGACTGTTTCTGCACATTTAATCTTATTACGAGATATTTAAAAAATTCTACTAAGCTACATTAATCATTACATTCACAATTATATACTATCGCGCCAATTATTAAGTATACCAACGTCTTCGCCCCTTTATATTATATTAAAGCATTTACATACCTTCCTTTGGAACTTTGCGTTTAGCTTGATGTGCTGTAACATTGTCATCCTCAGAATATCGCTTAGGTTTAGTTTTTCTACCACTGCGGCTAACGTTTTTGGAATCTTTCAACTGAGTCTTATCTTTGATTTCAGTAACCACTTCGTCAATTTCTTTTTCTTCAGAAACGTCTTCTAACACCTCAGGCGTATTAATAATTTCATTCACTTCCTGTGTGTCATGAACAGTGATGCTATTATTTATACTCGCTAACGTATCATCACCAGTATAATCACCTACTGATGTGTCCGTTAGAGCAACACTGGGCAAATCAATTGGGGCAGAGTCTTCCCCCTTTAATGCGGCTTCGATTTGTTCAATCGCTTCGCGGAAATTGGAACGCTTTAAATTTTTCTCAGTGGAAAATTTCTCTTTATTTTCTTCATATTTAAATAGATCTTCTATTTTTATGTTCGCAGTTTCTCCTGTGCCGTAGAAGTATACGTTATACTTCTTATTGTTGTATTTCGTGATTTTTGCTGGCCATGCTGGGTATCCTTTAACTTTGGCGAACACTAAATCGCCAATCTTGAATTGCTTCTTCTCTTTAACCATTTTCGATCTCGAAAATACAAACTTTTAATTAAAAATTGTTCTATATACGCGTACTATCCGAAAAAATCTTCTGCTTTTATGTAGACAAACTTAGCTCAGATCTAGAAATGCCGCTGTTGCTTTCTTTTCCTGACATGAGTTGATTTACAACTACAATTGTATAGATAAAAAATTTGCAACAGAGTTGTATTTTTTAATTTTATTTTTCAAATGTATAATTACTTCTAGTTTTTTTTTAAATCAAATTTTATTTGACTATAGCCGTGTGCGCGTTCGAGTAAATTGAGGGAAATAGTATATTATGTTGGTATGGCAGCGAATGTTGGTATTTATCAGAATTTCGGGTAGGCTAAATTAAATATAAATTAGGTTAATCTAGATGTTACCATCTAGAAAATTTTATAAGATGTTTAATAAATAAATAAATAAATTTGACCAAAAATTGTAAATAAATAAATATTTACATAAGTATAGTGCAAAAAATCCCTAGGAAATTTCAATTTACTTTACCTCAATGTACTCGAACTCGCACCTATATAATTCATTTGGAGATATTTTGTCATGCATCGTCAAATCTTGTTTTGCTCTAAATTACTATTAGCTTCATTTTATACAGAATGCAACTTTAGCAATACAAAATACAATTAATTTCATTCACAAATCAATTGTAGCCCGTTTGAAGCTGACTATTAGACCACATGACATAAATTCCACTACAAATAACAAAGGTGGATTTTGTAGTTTTAGTTCAAGTCTTAAGATTGAATTATATCACTTTGCTGACTAAGTATATGTTGAGACTATATCAGTTTTGAGACTTAAATCACGACCATAAATGCTGTGCAATTATTATTACAGTTTTATTGTAATATGTAATTTATTTCAAATGAAATTTTTAAATTATTCGAATTTTAGATTAAAATAAATTTCAGTTAAATTATAGATGAAAAAAAAAGAGAGCCGATTCCAGTCTTTATACATTATATGTAATACATAATAGAATTCACTAACAAAGTAATTACATTAGGTTATTAATTAATTATCATTTCTGCTTTATCCACAATTCTTACTTGCTTGAGTATAAAGCTACCAAACAATTAAATAGGTTTATATATAGGCTATATTAGCCTATAGGTTTATAATATCATTAAAAACGTTCAAACCAAACTTTTAGTAAAGTTTTACATGTATAGGTGATTAATTAAGTTTAATGATTCCTTTACAACAATAATTATATTGAGTTCAAAACTAAGAAATAACAATAAGGAATTAGAAAATGGAGCGGAGAACTATATTGAAAAAAAATAAAAAAAGAAAACAATTTACTTTTCATTTTATTTTTTGGTTCACTCTTTTTTATATTCTCAAAATTATATTATAGTCGTGTGCGAGTTAGGCTAAGGACGTGTGCGAGTTAGGCTAAGTTGATGCTAAACCAAATGGGAGATTTTTTGGGATTTTTTGTATTGCCATTTATTAACACGTATCGACACATCAATACATTATCGAAACAACTTAGAATTTCCCTCATTTAGAACGCAACTTAGCCTAACTCGCACACGACCTAAGTTGTGTTCTAAATGAGGGAAATTTTAAGTTGTGCCGGTAATGTAGTGATGTGTCGATATGTGTTGATAAATGGCTAAATGTGTGCAGTGCAAAAAATCCCAAAAAATCTCCCATTTGGTTTAGTATCAACTTAGCCTAACTCGCACACGTCCTAAAGCAATTATCGAGATCAAAGTAGTTATCTAGTTGTTTAATCACAGATTTCCCATACAAAAGATAATCTAATTTTGGTCGAGGTTAATAGAGATTAATTAATTGTTTTTAATAACGCAAGTTAGAGTTGAAATAAGTGATATTTTCTGATTTACTAATTTCAGAGAACTAAGGTGGAGATTTCACATAACAAAAAATCTACGTTTAATAATAAGAAACAAATTTCATATTTTCAATTTTTATTTAAATAACCTAATGTGCAAATTAACAAAATTGTAAAAGTTTTTTCAAATATGTATAACATTAAAAGTTTAATTTATTTTTATTAAATTCAATCGAATTGAATCCCAATTTTTTACATGCTTTTTAATAGCTACGTCCAAACAGCGTGTAAAATTTAGGTTTATTTGTGCAGCTTGGATGAATGCATTTGTCAGCTACTGTTATGGCAGCTGGTTGATCGAATGGTATGCATAACGACTTAGCACCCATAGCTGGAGCACCAGGCTCAGCTTCTTGATCTCTGTCAAATTAAACAATTAAGAAAAAATAATTATAAATGTATACATGTACATGCGACTGTGCTGTACTGTACTGTACTGAATACTTACCTTGCACTATCGGCTTTGATTTTATCTTCGCATGACGTTTCACCACAGAATGGAGAAAGTAATATATTCTTCTGATCTAAAAACATGCAAAAGTCGGACCAGTTCTTTGTTATTTTTGTGTGCTGAACCAAATCTGATTGTGCTTTCGCCAACATGCTATCGTGAATTGTTTCAAGAAGTTGCTGAATTTTTGAGTCGACATCATCCAAAGCTAAAATCAATTTTTCACCTGAATCGCGGCGTACTGCTACAATTTGATTTGCTTTCATATCTTTAGGTCCGACTTCAATACGAATAGGAACACCTTTTAATTCCCAATGATTGAATTTCCAGCCTGGAGAGTAATTATCACGGTAATCTCCTTCGCAACGTATACCTTTCGCACTCAATTGTCTTTCGAGATTTTTACATGATTGCATTAATTGTTCCCGTTCATCTTCTTTCGTGTTAACAGTAATTCCACATGGTACAATGATTGCTTGAATGCACGCTATATGTGGCGGCAAAACCAATCCTTGATTATCAGAATGAACCATAATCATAACACCAATAGTACGCGTTGTTATACCCCATGAATTCTGCCATGCAAATTCTTTTTGCTGAGTTTCCGGATCTTCGAAAACGATTTCAAACATTTTTGAAAAGTTTTGTCCTAAATGATGGCTTGTTGCGCCCTGAATTGCACGACCTGAAGCAGATATAAATGCTTCAACTGTAGTTGTGTAATCACCACCTGCAAATTTCTCCTTTTCCGTTTTTCGTCCTTTAACAACTGGTATTGCCATGAGATTTGTGTAGACTTGTGCATACAATTCTAATATATCTAAAACTTCTTTTTCAGCTTCGGATTTGTTTGCAAAAGCGCTATGTCCCTCTTGCCAAAGAAATTCTCGTGTACGTAAAAATGGTTGCGGATGTTTAAATTCCCAACGCTATCAAAATAAGAAGATAAGAAATAAGTTGGTACATGGAGCAGATTGCATATTGCATATTGCAGATTGCAGAAATTGACTTATAACTTACGACTACGTTATTCCATTGATTTAGGCGAATCGGTAAATCACGATATGACTGAACCCATTTTGCATATGCAGGATACATAACTGTTTCAGACGTTGGACGTACTGCAATTGGCTCAGCTAAATCAGACTCACCGGATTTAGTAACCCAAGCTACTTCAGGTGCAAAGTCAGCAATATGCGTTTTCTCCTTTTCTAAAGCTGCTTTTGAAACAAACATCGGGAAATAACATTCTTTTACCCCCATTTTTGTTATTTCGCCATCAAACCAAGATCTTATATACTTCCAAATAGCAAATGACCAATGTCGTAGAATGTAACAGCCGGAAACGTCATAGTATTCAATAAGTTCACCTTTGGTTATAACCTAAAAAATTTAAATTGAGATATATAGAAAAAGTTATTAGATTTAACTAGAAATTAAGTCTTACTTGTGTGTACCACTCAGGCAGATTGTCTTCTTTGGTTGCTTCAAGGCCTAAACGAGTTTGTTTCTTAACAGCGCCAGTTGGTGTTTCCGTTTTCGAGGCATTTTTCAATTCAGTTTTTTGGGTCTTAGTACCTTTTTCAGTGGTTTTCTTTGCAGAACTGCTACTTCCACGTCCAGCTACGGGGAAATCTGTGCCAGTAACTTCTTTGTATTTAGCTTTAAGCGCTAATAACTTCTTAACTTCAGCGTCAATTACGTCCTTTGATGCGTTTTTGGTTTTAGCTGTACGCACTTTCTCGCCTTGCTCGTTTATTTCTTTCGTAAGTAGTTCTTTTTCGGTTGCCGAAGATATGTTAGGTGTAGTTGCTGCTTTAGTTCTGTCCATTTTTGCTTCAGGTGTCCAATCTTTACCTGTTAGTGTTTTATACGAAGACTTTAGTTTAAGTAAAATGTGAACTTCTGGTTCTATAGATGATTTAGGAGCTTTCTGCGATTTTAATTCACGGATTTTGTTACCCTGACTTTGGATTCTTTCTAAAATGCTTTCTAACTCTGAATTATTTGATTCACTGGTTAGATCAATTTTTATTACTTCCGCTGTGACATCGGTTTGCTGAGGTGCTGTAGCGCCAATTTTCCAATCCTGACCTGTAAGATTTTTATAATCCGTTTTAAGTGCAAGTAATACTTTTACTTCTGGCTCTATGGTAGCTTTGTCTGCTTTTGCAGATTTAAGTTCTCGAATTTTATCCCCTTGTTGAGTTATTTTGCTTAGTAAAGACTCGATTATACTGCTATCAACAGCATCTAAAGACTTTTCCTTTTTGACAACGATTGGTGCAACTACTCCTGGCTTCCAATCTTGTCCAGTAACTGATTTATACTCAGCCTTGAGATCTAAAAGGGCTTTAACTTGAGTCTCTATGATTGTTTTTGATTCCTTTTTAGATTTCAATTCACGTATAGAATCTCCAAGTGTAATTATTTTTTCATTTAGTGTGTGCGCATCGCCTGATGTGGTCGTGGCACTTTGTGTATTTGTTGCACTCTGTCCAGGTTTCCAGTCTTTGCCAGTTGATGACTTGTAGACTGCCTTGAGTTCAAGCAGCTTTTTGACTTCGACGTCGATTTCAGCTTTTGGTGCCTTTTTATTTTTAAGAATGCGTACAAAATCGCCTTGGTTAACTATTTTCTTATCCAAATCGGATTCGTTCTGTTTTTTTGACAATGGAGCAACCTTTTATTAAAAAAAATATATATTTAATTTTAATTTAAAAATAATGGTTGATGTATTTTATGTGTTTAATGAGTGATTTCCATAATTTTAATATTGTATACGTCAGCATTTAACACGTTAACGTGTTTGTCAACGTTTCTTTACAAAAACTATCGTCATACCTTCCGCGACCAGCCTCTAACCGTCTTCGCAAGCAGACCAAATTATGAGACAAAAACTTCGCTAAGCAAACACACAACATACAACACACGTCGCAATGAAAGCCAAACAAAATCTGTGCTCTGTAGTGCTGCAGCGTGTAAGACGAACAAACACCAACAAATTAATAACAACAAATGCTGCTGCTTATGCTCGTGCAAAAGAGAGAGAAAGAAGAGAACCGTTTCCGATAAGAGAATGTAGTGGACTTTTTTATTAGACATCAAACTGGTTTTGTTAGAGCAAGTGCAGCACTAGGAAAGAAATATACTTAACCAATAATGATTTATGAAATATTATTAAGCGCGGAAATTGTGTTGGTATTTCTAATGAAAATATGGTAAATCATCACTTAAAATGAAAATTGCGGTTTGAGATACATCACATCCAACGGTAAACACAACCACACACATATATATCTGTAATTCATTTAGGTCCAGTATAACAACACCTATTCTTTTCACAGTTCCAGAGTTATTCGTCTACAACCACTAATTGCCGCTTTCCACACCCATTGGGCCTTCATGTCAGCTCTAGCGGTTGAAGAACGCACGGAATAACACAATAGAGAAATAACATTATTAAAAATAATGAAAAATAATTCAATAAAATAAATCTATGGCATTTTGTAGTTCCTATAGTTTTAGTACATAAAATGGACTTATTTTACCAAGTATATAAAAGTGGCCGCGGAGATCTTAACCCAAAGCTTTAATAACAAATAAATATTGCTTTGATTTTCAAAGTTCGGTGGTCAACGTTTGATGCATTGCTGCATAAAATTTTTATTCGTTATGTTAGCGTATATATGTTATTCAGAGTTGGATTACTCCATTTATTAACAGAAGCTACCCAACAAAACGCCGAAACTGAATTAGTAAAACGAAAGAATACTCTTTCTTTTGCCTCTCATTTTTTCTTATCATTTCTTAAGTAGACAATGTTGTGTTATACGGATTGTTTTTCTTTACTTACGATCAAGAGAAACATTAACTATGCCTTAGCTTTTACACTCACTACAGTAAATAACGGCTTCAACTACAGTAAATAACTAGTCGAACTTCAAGCTGGGTCACCACAATACGTT